AGGTTCTCTGGGATTGTGATTTGTAGGCTGGTTTTCTCTGCTTTATGTTTAAAAACCACTTATGAGTGAATACATGTCATAATTGTCTTTCTGGGTCTGGGTTACCTCACTCAATATATTTTCTACCTCCATCCATTTGCCTGCAAAATTCAAGATGTCATTTTTTTCTGCTGTGTAGTACTTTATTGTGTAAATATACCACATTTTCCTTATCAATTCTTAGGTTGAGGGTCATTTAGGTTGTTTCCAGGTTCTGGCTCTGACAAATAATGCTTCGTTGAGCACATGTCCTTGTGGCACGATTGAGCATCCTTTGGATATATACCCAAAAGTGGTATTTCTGGGTCTTGAGGAAGGTTGTTTTCTAATTTTCTGTGAAATTGCCATACGAGTGGCACTCCCACCAGCATTGCAAGACTGCTCCCTTTACTTCACAACTTCTTCAGTATAAGTTGTCATTAGTGTTTTTGATCTTGGCCACTTTTACAAGTGTAAGATGGCATCTCAGAGTTGTTTTGACTTGCATTTCTCTGATGACTAAGAATGTTGAGCATTTCCTTAAGTGTTTTCAGCTATTTTAGATTTCTATGTTGAGAGTTCTCTGTTTAGTTCTGTATTCTACTTTTTTATTGGTTTATTTCTCATTTTGATGACCAATTTATTGAGTTTGTTGTATATGGCCATACCACCCTGAACACACCCGATCTCATCTAATCTCAAAAGCTAAGCAGTGTTGGGACTGGTTAGTACTTGAATGGAGCCCAATAATATTTTTTAATGTCATTTGAAAATGTAAAGTTCATTCACTCAAGTTAAAAATAATTTGTCTTTATATCAAAATAATTTTTATGCCAGATTTTTTTTCACAAGCTTATTTCTCTTCCTGGTGTATTTTCCCTAGCATTTTTATTATACAGATCATTTTTATATTTATTCAATCTAAATATTTCAGTGATTCTATGATATACAGCAAACCAAACTTATTACTTTCCTTTTACATATAATAAAAGGTTTAGTACAGAAGCTAAGAGGCACTGAAATTCTTTTTGAATAGCATGTTGTGTAGTACAGTAACTCCAACTTGTATTTTTTTTGTTGTTATTCTAGGTCACTATATATGTGCAGTTTGGTGTAGGAGGTCTTTCTGTCATTGTGTTGCTTTTATTGATTAATAAAGAAATTACTTTGGGCCTGTTGATAGGTCAGAGCTTAGATAGGCAGGGAAGACAGAACTGAATGCTGGGAGAAAGAAGTGTGGAGTAGAAGAAAGATGCCATGGAGCCGCCAGAAACAGACAATGGCAATTTCACCTGCTAAACCACTGCCATGTGGCGATACACAGATTAACAGAGATAGGTTAAATTTATATATAAGAGTTAGCCAATAAGAAGTTAGAGTTAATGGGCCAAGAAGTAATTTAATTAACATAGTTTCTGTGTGATTATCTTGAGGCTAAGCAAGCCGAGTGTCCGGGATGAACAAGCAGTCTTCCTGGAACACAAATTTATATTCAAGACTATATCTTAATTATCCTAATATGATTAAGAAAATATTGTATTTTCATATTTGATTTATTTCATATAAATATGATGATATATTTACCATTGAAATTATTTAACTTTCTATACCTTAATTGGATATTATGTATTTTTAGAAATTTATTTTGAGTGTCCCATTTTCTCTGTTATATTTCATAATACAAAGGGTAAAAGTTCTTTGTTTTTTCATAACAATATAAGATGTATTTCATTGTCACCTAAGCAATTACCTGTTAGAGTTGCTTTTAAAGTGCAGTGATGAGTTATAGTTTCTGTGACTACAAAAGTCAACCTGCTAGCCTGGCTTAGCATGTCTGCCGAGTTTTGATTAAAGATTTTGCCTGGGAATGTAGAAACACAAATGAAACTTTGAGGAACTATGTGAGGGGAGAAACTGTAAGATCTCAAGGACTTGCATCATTCTTAGTACACTCTCTGCCTTGCGTTTGCAGTTTGAAGATGTGAGTCATCAGCTTTCTGATCCCAACACCGAGACTCTGTTCTTCCAACATGGATTCTTAAACTTCTAGACTCTGATAACACCCCAGTCTTCCTTTTCTAATTTTTTTTCAATCACAGTGTTTTACCACAAAGATAGAAAGGTAATATGTCAACAACACTCAAGGATAGACCCCACTTCTGGTCATAGTTGGATGGCATAGCAAAGCTTCTTAATATAAACATGTTGAAATTGCCTTAATATTTATATTATAATAATTTTAAAAACACAAAATTCTAAGATATTTAATGTATGACATCTAACTTTTTAAACAGATAATTATAAATAGTATATTTTTCAACAAAATTTTGCTATATGGTTCAGTAGACCAGCTGGCCTTAAACACTATGCTATTATGTGGTCTCAGCATCCCAAGTGCTTGAATTACATGCATGTGATCTTAAAAGTCATTTCAGTTTATTGAGGCCAGGATATACCTTTTAGACTAGCAAGATTTGGTGTTACGCAGTGTTTTGACAATTACAATTTATGATTCAATTATTTAGAGTAAAAAAATTCTCTCTAATTTTCTTATAATAAAACAATAACAACACAGTACTGTGGCAAACTTGCTTATATAATTTCTGCTATAGAAATAAAACAAATAATTAATAAGGAACAACTTGGTGGGTAAGAGCTTTGACAAAGTACCAGGCAATCATTTCAAGTGCACTTAAATATTTAATTCCAAATGGCAAAACCAAAAGTGGCTCTAAGTTTTCCTAAGACAAACGTTTAAGGCTGCACATTCTATTCTAGAAATACCTTTAGGGCAACTTTACAGTGGTCCTTTTTCCATGAATAATTTATTTGTCAAGTTTTGAATATATTTGTTTTGCATACACTTATTTGACATTTCCTTAGATATAATATTTCTATTATATAATTGTTTTTATGTGTGTGTACGTTTTTATGTGAATACACGTTTTTATATTATATTTCATTAGTACATAGAATACATGAAGGAAATATGCATTATTTTATTCTACCACTAATCAGAAAGATATTCTTAGGCATTTTCTAACTTATGTATGTATTGCAGAGCATTTTTATTTTCAAAATTATTATTTCTTTATTAATGTGTGTTGAACTGAAATCACAGATATGATACAATTTCAGTATGTATTGTGTGTTTGACCAAGGCTTTATTAGAGATGTACTTTTTAAATACTATGTTCTCTGTTGAGATCTTCCCGTATCTTAGAGGCAACATACTAAAAGTCCCCCTCAGTAGCTCATAAAAAGCATATTTTGATTTCTGGGAAATAAGTATTTGTGTTCTTCTCTATTTCCTTTTCTAATTGATTATTAGAAACATATTGTATAAATATATGAAAATAACTAAATAATGTAGGACTATGGATAAAATGGTCTGGTGCAGGTAAAGTACTTTCAGCCAAAAGCAGGTGAAAGCCAAGGCATTCACTTGGTTCCTTCCTTCCATCATGTGAGGGTGAATATTTAACCTACTGTCCTTCAGCTGTACAGTTGTAAAAAGCCTCACAAAACTCAGGGAAATCCCTGCAAGAGGGAATAGAAGGAATGCTAGAGGCAGAGACTGTGGAAGAATACATTGAAATTACCTTAGAGCAACTATGATCATCTGAAAAAGACCTACTGATCATCAATACACAAACATCCCAGTACTAATAGCAGGGAAGGGGTTCCCAAAATCCCAACCTACGGAGTTTCTGATAGTTTATGGCTTCTGGGAGAGAAAGAATAATTTTTCTTCACAGTTATTAGTGCAGCTGGGTTACCCACTCTCAAGTGGATGAATATATACCTATGTGTGTATATACAGCAATAATTTTACTAAGTGGGATTATATATAATATGTATGTAGTTACAGTACACAAACAAAACTATATACATACATATAATTTTTCATATTACATTTCCACAAAAGTTTCCCCTCCCTTCTCTCCTCCCATTCCCACTGGCTATCTTTCCTTTTTTCCCTCAATCCACTTCCCTCTGATCCTGCTCATCATGGGTCAAGCTTCCCACAGGTGTCAAAAAAATGGCATAGCAGATGTGGTAAAACTAAACCTGCACTTATAATATGGTTTAGCAAAGAAATCCAGTATGAGAAATAGGTACCCAAAAGCCAGCCAAATCATTAGGGATTACCTCTGTTTCCATTTTTAGGTGTTCCATAACTAGACCAAAACACACAACTGTAAAATATATGTAGAGGGCCTAGGTTTGTCCCATGCAGGCGCCCTCGTTGTTAGTTCATATGAATTACTATGATCCAGGTTCGATGCATTTATTTAATTATTATTTAACTCATTCTATTAACAATTAAAACTTTGGTGTCAGATATTGAGTTAAAAATATTATAGATCCAAAGATCAACAAAGGAACACAAAATCAGCTGACCTCTCCACACTTCCAAAATCAAAATCATAAAGATCTGTGAAACTCTCTAAGACCCTCCCTATCTCTCCCTGTGTCTTTCTATCCAGGCTGTCAAAAACATTTATTGCTAATTCTATCTTTGAATTTTCCTGAGCAGTTTGTAGTTCAAAACTTATCTTTGAGTGTTTTTTGTCAGTTTAGTGACATTACCACAATTTAAGTGGATTCATCATTGCAGGATCCATCATCTTTTGTAAATATCAAATATCTATGCAATGAATGGCTACAGTTCACTGCAGAAAACTTATACATTTTAAACATCATATGCAAGAGATCCTTGAGAGATAAAAGATCTGCTAAATCTATCCAGGTAAACAAATATAGTTCCTAGATATTTGGTTCAGACTTAAGCCCAAATCACATAAGAAAGCTAGATTAAGTTTATTTCTAGAATTAGTTACCACTCTATATGATCATTAATATATTTAGGAGAGTGGCATATTTTATTTATTTTTAATTAAAACATTTTGTTGAATATCACCTATGCAGGTATACTAACTGAAAGTTGTTATTATGATGTACCTTTATACTTTTTCTAGGCATGGGACCGGGTGGTGAGTGCAACTCGGCAGGCGGGAGTTCCTTTGTTTCCACAGCCTGCAGGCATCAAGGTAGGCCTTTTGTCTGTGAGGTCCCTGGCCAGCAAGGGGATCTGATCCTGTACCAGAAGATCCATAGGGGAGCATTCAGAGGAAGAGATGGGCAGGTGCCAATGCAAGAATTCCTCCAACAATCTGAAAAACAACATGAAAACACCAGAACCCAGCGAACTTACAACAGGAGGACTTGAACACCCTAATCAAGAAGAAGTAGAAAAAATTGACTTCATGAAAGTGATAGAGTCCCTTAAACAGGCAGTGAAAAACTCCCTTAAAGAAATGGATGAGAAGAATAACAAAAAGTTTGAAGAAATGAGTAAATCTGTAAATGAAATCCTAGGAAACCAAGGAAAACCAATCAAACAGATAATGGAAACTTTTTCTAGTAGTGTCCCCTATTTTTGTAACATATCCTAAAAATCCTGTCACTAATATCCTTCACCAACAGCACTTGCTTCCCAAATTTCTCCGTATCCAATGTAAAGCTTTGCTACCTTTTACATTTTCACCTATCTTTTCTGTTTTAAACCTTTGCATTGCATAAATTTATAATTTATTGTATAAATTGAAAATTTTCACATTTCAGAAAATTTGAATTATGGTTCTTCTATATAAACTTATATTCAGATATTTTAAATAATGCCAAATTGCGTTGTTAATGTTGTCTCCTTTTATTTAAGCATATCATGTTAAGTATATGCATGACAAAAGTATGTTATATATTTACCCTTAACTATATAGTTAACCCTTTAGATCCATCTTTATTGCTTTCAGGGATCCTGACTCATATGCATTTATTTTGTTGTTATATTTCTCAATATTTAATTATTTGTTTGATATATATGCTTTTTTTTAAAGTTTTCTGTAAATAGTGCTGATAGAGTATTTGTCTAGATGTGAATATTTCATGGGAATGGGATAATGATATATTGGCTACCCATTCAATTCTTGAAACTGGAATCTACTACCCAAAATTTAATAAATGCTTGTTCTTATTGCTATATTTAAAATTTCTTTTTTTTCTTCCTGACTATACAAATGAATGTCTCTTTTTAGTGTTTTGCCCATATTTATGTGATTTTTCTACTCTACATAGCACAAATTTGTTCAAATTTTCATTCATAAAACTTGCAATATTTTATTTCCTATATAACTATCACTTTTCTCAGAAATGTTCTTAACTCTCGATGATTTTATGCAACTTCAGTGGTGTCTTACAACTAGTATTTTAGAATCAATCTATTATTGTATTTTTATAATTATGATGCAACTCCATAAAGCTTTCAATTAATATTTTTATATAGTGGAACATAAGGGAAAATGTGCTTATTTCAAATAACTAAGATCAGAACATTCTGTATAATTAAAATGTTAGATATTTAAAAAATTAATAACAAGATCTTAAGAACGGTAAATGAAAAATTTAGTGAACTTGAAGATAAATAGGAAAGAACTAATTGTTGGGAAAGTCAAGCTAATTCTGAAATATTAAAATTAAAAAGATATATAAGATATATTTAAATTCCAGAGTAGAATGGAAAATGAAATGGTTAATGGGGCATCTGAAAGAAATAAGAAATGAAAAATACTGAATAAGTAAAATTTCTGATAAAATACCATTTCAAACTATATGTATCTTAAAAAGTGCTGAGAATAAACAATAGTTAAAACAATATTTAGCACATATATCTAAAGGAGTTCTACAAAAGTATTCTGTGAGGTACAATTTAATATCTTTGAGATTATTTAAAAAAAAACTCAAAAACAATAATTAGTTCTTTGTCCTCACAGTTTCAAAAATATTAACCATAGTCCATGACTCCATTGGTTCTAGAACTATGATAAAGTATCATGAAGGCAGAAATTGTGTCAAAGGTTTTTAATCTTAAAGGTACACAGAAAAAGGAGATATGGAAAGACAGTATATATTAATATATTATATAGAATTAATATATAATCCATCATATAGAATATATAATGGGGAGAAACAGCAGGATACAACATAGACAAAATATACATGTACAATAATCATTTTCACCAGCTACTGATGACAAAGCATCAACTTTATCACAGGAACCTATGAGTCGCAATTCATCTTCAAATCATAACTGATATATGCAGAGAATAACTTTTTCTTCTAGAAAAAACCACATGTGGAGAATAAAAGAATACAAACATTTATACTCTTTGCAATCAAACATATGCAAATTTAAACCAGAAGGAGACCTCGTTTTACATGTCTTAAAATTATTCAACATTTATTTTACTGAATGTTCATTGAATATGAAGCAGTCTACTGAGACCTCAAGAGGTTTTTATAAAGTCAGAGAATTTAAAGTAGGCACATTGTCATTTCTAAGTTTACAAAATAATAAAACAAGAAAGAATTACACTTAGATACAGTGATAAAATGCTTTTTTATTTTATAAGAAACATTACTAGAAATATTTGGGCTACTATAAACATGTGTGTAAAGAAATGTTATTGCTCTTTGAATATTATGAGGAATTCATAATTTGTAGTGATCTCCCCAGTGAAAGAATCACAAGTCTTACACGCTTGTTTATGTTGCTTTCTTTTGAGAGAGACTTTTTTTTTTAAATTTACAACTATTACATTCACCCATATAACATAAGGGCATCCTGTATATTTTTTTTTTTAGAACATTAGAGTTTTGAAGACAGAAATTCTGTTCACTTCATCCATAATGTAAAAAATTATCAATGTATGTTTCTCATGAACAAGGTTTATAAAATAATATATCTATAGCAATAGAGATTAGGAGTCAAGCAAAACAGCTTCTCCATGCTTGACTAGACTTGGAAAGTAACCAATGAAAATGGAGTGATGTGATCAACAGTGTGTTTTAAGAGGATTAATTTATGTGCACTGTATTTGATAGATTGGTGAAAGGACGAAACTGAGCTCCAAGAGAATTAATTATGTCCATCATGAAAGAATAAGCTAGTGAGTAAGAGCATCACCAATGAAGTGAAGAGAATGGGCTTTTCCATAGGCAACTCAAATATTGAATGAGAAGGCTTTAATAGTTCACAGTGTTGGTACTGAGGACCCAGAGCACACAAAAGAAGGAAAGATGAAGGATCATTATTCAATATGAATCATCTTACACAGTCTGAAAAGATTTACAGTTTGCATCCAGTATAAAAATATCTGAAAAGAAAAAAGATCAATGAAAATAAATTACATGTAAAGAGAAAAATTATACCATTAATGCTGTGGGTTAGATAAAAACACCAACATAACTGAACTGTCAATGGTTCTTCAATGACAATGTGTCTACTTTAACTTGGTTCTTCAAGGGAAAAAAAAGTAAAATGTTATTGATTACACATAAAGTATTCAGATTATTCAAGATGAAAATTTTTGATGACAGATGATGAATATTGTAAAAGATTATATCAGCAAAAGGGCAAATAGAATTGGGAAATAGGAGCAGCAGATGTTAGCTTTTGTTTCCTTTTAATCTGAGCCAGCCTGGCCTGTGTTCTCAGTATTGATTTAAATTCCTGGGACCTACAATCTCTTAGGCATCAGGTGTTAGAACTTAATCTAAATATTGGACCAAAAAACTGAGAACAAATTGTCACTTTATTCTGGAAGCATTACTTCATGATACAATAAAAAACACAGCAAACAAACAAAAATTAACAAAACCTGTCCCCTCTTTGTCAAATATATCACATAGGTGATCAACGTAACTTAATATTTCTGAGATAGGCAGTAAAACATGGAAGGTCTCTGCCACTGGCTGTCAATCTCCTTATGCATGCATAACATATTCACTTTATACTTTGTCCTATCTACTTGGATGTATATATGAAAACACATATAAATAAACAAAATGTATTTAGATTTCCACGTTCCTGAACTTTTGGAACTGCATTCTTTTAAAGATCCTAAATTTAATTTTAGAAAGTACTTTTTAAATTTTTGAGAATAGAAAAATAATAACTTTACATCAAATAGAATATGAATAGACATGTTTTGTCTTCAAAAACCAAAGCTATTTCTACACAAGCAAAGATTTGCTTATGTTTGAGGTGATTTTTAAAATACTTATTTCATGTCATAAATATATAATATTTCAAGTTTAAACCCAACTATCTTCCTGGAGAGTTAGCATACTCTATTATGAAATCAATTGTACATGTTTAATTTTTGTATAATTCTTCCTATCTTTCTTGTCATTCCACAAGAGGAATAAGTTATTTTAAGTTACAATAACTAACTTCCTTTAAACTATTTTAAAATAAGAACTAAAGCCATTTCATTCTCAATCACTGATGTGCCAAATGAGGTTATTTTTCTCTGATTCATAAAACTATTTATTGATGAGAGCTATTTGTAAGAGGACCTCTGCTCTTTCATAAAAACATAAAAGGTACACTAAGGCAGTACTATCAACCTCATGAAAATGTTTGCAAAAGGAATGCTTTGAATTTTTTGACTTGTACTTAAAATTCACTCTGTAACTAATTTGTGATTTGGTAGACAAACCTTGCAATAATGGCTGATTTTCACCTTGAACAGTCTACAATATTAGTCATTTCTGACCACATCTTTCCTGTCATTTTTCAAATGACAATTCCCCTCTATCACAATTATAGAATATCAGCATTAGCTATTTAATGTATTCTTCCTTGGTAAATTGAAAGATGCCAGAACTTAAGTACCATTTATTTTACATATAATTTAATAAAAATAATCTCCCTTTTGTTGTTGGTTTTACATCCTGTCCATACTTTTCTCCCCCGCCTCTTCTCCCAGTCTCTGTCCCTTAGCTGCCCTTCATCCACTCTTCCTCCTTTTCTCTTCAGAAAAGAACTGGCCTCCCATGAATAGTAATGAACCATAGCATATCAAGTAGCAAGTGAGGCTAGGTACCTAGGCTGGATGAAGCAATCAGGTAGGAGGGCAGGGCAACAAAAGTAGGAAAGAGAGTTAGAGACAGTTCCTACTGCCTCTGTTAAATACTTATAAGAGGAGAGAAAGCAATAGTGACTGCAAACATTTATAAATAGCTAGTAGAATAAATATGCTTATTATGGTTACTAAAATCATCTACAATGAAAAAGAAATCACTCAGGCTTCCTGTGCTTATTAAGCTACCAGAAGTTAAAACTTACAGTTCATCTGAGCAGCAACTAAACTTTCATGGCCTACTTTTGCTAGATGTAGATTTCTCCGTGTCTATGGGCAGTAGTTTTCCTCAATTGCCAGCCACTCTCTCAGAATAAAAAAAAAAGAAAAAAGAAAGAAAAAAAAAGAAAGAAGAAAGGAAGAAAGGAAGGAAGGAAAAAATAAAGAAAGGAAGGAAGAAAGAAAGAAAACACTCTAAAGAACCCAATACAAATTGTGCATCAGAATTTTTGGTAGATAAAGCAAGGCACAATATTTTGCCTTTCAATTTAGAAACTATATGTTGGTGAATTCTGAAATAACTTTATTACCTTGACCTTAACATTCATGGAGCAACTAGAGCAATGGCTAAGTCATTATAGACACTGGACATTTTCCAGAAGACCTGGGCTACTATTCAGCACACTCTTGGCAGTTATTTAGGATCTAAGTCTGCTTTCAGAGAACCTGACACTATCGTCTGGCCTTTGAAGCCAGTACATAAACATGATGCACACAAATGTACTGTCACTCAAACACACACATAAAAATAAACAAATATAGCTAGATAGCTAGCTAGACAGACAGACAGACAG